AAGAAATGTATGCATTTAAAGCGGATGGCAGTCGGAAAAGTTTTGGGAAATGCTATTATAAATTACAACGCAACTCATTATTTATTTATTTTTATATAGTCCTTCCAAATAGTTGGCAGTTGTCAAACCAGATGTAGGGAGAGACTGCTTTATTAGTTGTAAATAGTTAATTGTTTATTGTAGCCCCGGGCATCGTGTACCTCTTTCTGCACTGTGAATGGTTTAAGTGTTTTAGTTTGATTTGAAAACTGTTAATTTATGTTGGAAGGACTGTAAATCTTTTTTAAATAGTTTACCATACTAGTTCATTTCTAACATTAGTGAAATTAAGAAGTACATTTATATTAGAATCACGGAAATTATTACTAACAATTTTCGAATGCCATTTTTGACAACTGAAAGTTTAGAAATTTAAAAAATTAAAAGAATTTTAATCTTTTTAACCAGAGAATGAAGTAACTCTGGCTGTTTATCAAACTAAAAATAAACGTATAACGAGCAATTATTTATTGTGACATCGTCACAATGCCGGTCTGCAATTTTTTATCGTATTTTTCATTCATTTAATTTAAAATATGTGCTCTCCACCTCAAATTAGTAGTGTCTTGCCCATGTACATTTTATTTGACAATAGAGTCGTGCCGTTAATCTATCTAACATCTTTCGGGGGAAAATTTTTGAATTGAAATAACGTGACTTCCGATTTGAATAGGAAGTTCCTATATAATTAATCGGGGTCTCCTGCAGCCCAAAAATACAAAAATAACAAAAACGAAACTAACCATTTAATTTGAGTACACAACAAATCTTGGATCTGTTTGGCGTCGTCAATAATATAAAATTGGATTGGATGGAGTAAGCATGGTTTAAGAAAGAAAAGTGAGGGAAATCTAATAACATTATGCACTAAAACCAGTCTGCATTCCTTACATCGTTTGCCTAGATGATGTAACGTGTAAAGCTGTGTATTTTCCCATTGATGTATACAGTAGTGCATTCTGATTTGGACCAAGCAGTCGTGGCACTCTCCATTTTTATTGTGTCGTGTGTTCTATTTCTATAGTTCTTATGAATTAGCGATGACATAGGGTGCACGTTTTATTGGATTCGCATTAAAAATTATTTTATCCGTTCAACTCGGCTCCTCCGAAAATTAAATCCTGAGTGCCCCACTGGAAGTATAGTTACCTCGGTAGTAGTTTTAATTTAATATACTATAATCTTAAAGTAAATGAGAATTTTGCAGAAAGAGATTGAAAACAGAATGTCTAATTTGTAGTGTTGTAACGAATAGTAGGCCTATATTCGGCCAGGAGCGTAGCCGAATAGCCGAATATTCGGCCAAACTATTCGGCTCGATTAACACACGTACGAAAATTGGCGCGCAAACCGCATTATAGCCAGGACCTGCTCTCCATTGGCCCACTGTCACTACGCTTCGCCAATCGCGTTAATTCTTGACAGTTCAGACAAGAGTGTCATGGCAGTATGTGATAAATGACGATATCAAATGTGAATAACAATGAAATGACCTACACATGTAAATAACGGAAAAAGAACAGAGANTAGTTTATTCGTTTATTTATTTATAATTGAAGCATATTTGAAGATTTTTTCCTTTTTCTCGCTTTCCAACCCAAGCAAATAATATTTTTCTTTCGCATATTGGCGCATTCTCAACAGAATATAGGCCTAATAACGAATTATGTAAGCTGCATCTTTTCTGCATGTTCTTTACGTAGAAATTGCAATGCCTTGTTACGTAAAACATATGCAATCTTCAGTTCTTCACAATGTTTCTCAAAGTATTCTTCACAATTTTGTATTAGTAGCCAAATCCCTAGTTTTGGATAAATTAATTCACCACTACTTTTTACATTAACAACTTCGGCTTCTTTTAAACTGGAAAAAGTACTGGATGTAGAAGATGCAAATTTGACATAGATTATTCTTTAGATAATGTCTATAGATAAAACCATAGACAGTAAATAATAGAGTCTCGAACGTACCTCTTTCTGCACTGTGAATGGTTTAAGTGTTTTAGTTTGATTTGAAAACTGTTAATTTATGTTGGAAGGACTGTAAATCTTTTTTAAATAGTTTACCATACTAGTTCATTTCTAACATTAGTGAAATTAAGAAGTACATTTATATTAGAATCACGGNTAATTCACCACTACTTTTTACATTAACAACTTCGGCTTCTTTTAAACTGGAAAAAGTACTGGATGTAGAAGATGCAAATTTGACATAGATTATTTTTTAGATAATGTCTATAGATAAAACCATAGACAGTAAATAATAGAGTCTCGAACTTCTGCTCTGCTGTCATCGTGTTCAAAAACAGAATCAGACTCTGGGGTGTCTGAATTAAAAGAGTGCCCTTTTTTTTAATGTTATAAATATGAGTACCTTTAATTGAGCGTGGGTTTCTATTGTCAAAGGCTGAAAATGTATCAAATCCAAAACTGGTTCTTGTTCATAAAAATGCAATTTCCATATGCGAGTGGTTTTATAAAAGAGTGAATAATCATCAGTTGGTACAGGTATATAAATGGTACTACTGGATTATTTCCCCACCGGCTTGACTAATTGTACGAAAGAAGCGCCGAAATAAAAAAAATTAATCCAATTAGTGTAATTTTTTAAATTTAGAATTATGTACTTACCTCAAATGGATCTTGATTAACTTTCTCTGTTAAAACATATTTGTAATTGCAGTCACACAGAAAGTACTGAATCAAATCCATATCTGACATCAAAGTAACTCTCAGACCCTCAGTTGTTTGAAGAGTTAGGTCATGGAAAACAGTGTTTTTAACATTGTTTTCCAGGTGTTCAGCCATTTTCGGTTATCTTTAAGTATCTACAACAGAAATAATAAAATTATTTTTTAATAATAAATTATTAAAAGAAAACTATAAAAGTCACAAAAAGCAAAAAAGTAATAGTATGGAAATATTTTCACCCATACTTGTAGATCATTTGATATTTTTCTCACACCTTCTGAAGGAAAGCGTCTATTAAGAGCATCAAAAAGATGATTTATACATTTTGTGAATCCGATTGTTGGACTCACATCAGTAATATTGATGTCACTCTTAAGCATGAAATTTCAGTCCATCCACAGTTGAGTTGCAAAATACCTGTAAGACAAATTAAAGTATTTTAAAAATAAATTCAAATTATCTTAACCGTGTTAGATTCATAATAGTATTAACCTTAAAAATTAGATATTACATGATAGTTAAATTGGCTTCCCAAATATGCTTCTATTAGAATCAGTATAGAATACTATTATGCATTCTATACTGATTCTAATAGAAGCATATTTGGGAAGCCAATTTAACTATCATTTTTCGAAAAGTTTGGATAAATGTGATTAGTGGTTAGCTTAGGAAAAACTCAAGCATCCTGCTCTGGAATCCAGGGCAAACAAAGCTACATTATGTTCCCATTTAATGATGCTATGATTCAAAGCTAAATAAATAAATCAGTTACTGATTAAAAATATATCATTTTTAATTTAATTAATTAATAAAAAATTAGACTACATGTAATGTATGTCCATTAAGAAGCCTATTTCTGATTATTTTTATAAGGTGAGGAGTATCAGAAAATATGAAAATTCTTCCGTTGTCATCTGAAGGATTTATGAAGTATTGTTTATCATCACCTAAAACAAAATATCATAAAATTATGAAAAAACAGCTTTGATAAACAAATTACTATTAAACTTTTAAGTTTACGTAAGTTTCATTTACTTCCAGAAATGTCCACATACTTCTGTTAGTAGCATTCCAGTCTTTAATAATAAAGTCGGGTGCAAAATGTCTTTTGCATACTAAATCTGTTGATTTGTAAAGTCTGTCTTCTCTGGGAGACGTTCGCCACCACTTCAGTAATGATTCCAGATCTTTAGGTCCTTTAAATAAACTTACGTTCTCTGAACATGTGGCGTATGCATCTAGTCACATGTTTTGCTTACCGATGAATAGCGCTTTTCGAACTAATTCACCGAGAAAGACAATTTACCAGTAACAATTGGTAATACAAACACATTTCGTAAGTAGTCATAAATCGTAAATGAACGAATAGATAAATATGAGGGAGCTCTGGTTTTGAAACAGAGCTCCTTCACCTTTTCTTTTTACACCATGGAGTAAGGCATGTGGTTAATCTGCCAAGTGAAGGATGTCCCCGGTAGGACTTGAATGGAAAACTCTCCCTATTTAAGACACGAAGAAAACCCGGAAAATTCCACATGGCCAGATCGTTTATCAGGCGCCAACCCACTACCTAAATGTTGTTAAAGAAAATATACAGCATAACGTGATTTCTTTAATTAAACGCAACTTTATAAACTGTGTACAAGAGTTTCGTTAATCTGGTTAAAACATGTAATTTGTCTGTTTTAAAAATCGGTAATCTCCATGAGATTCAATAGATATAAAAGTATGAAATTATATTTTTTAGTCAACTGTTACATACAGCAAACAATTTCAATTGTCTATTAATAGGGCTTGAAAAGGTGGGCTATTTTTCTTGATTCAGCAGTACGAAGATTGTTATTCGGAACTGAACAAGATTTAACAGTGATAGCTATAATAATAATAATAATAAATATGACGTTCAGAAACTTAGCGAAAGTATTGTACAGTACATAACAGAGCAATCTGCCTCTTCAAGTATGGTTCCTGCTCGATACCAGTTCCACAATGCTAATTACCAATGATAGCTGGTCGTGGGTTCGCACTTGACCAACGGAATGGCCGCGTGAAAATATGGTTAATTTTTCTTTAGAAGGTCTTCTTGGAAGGCATCCTCTTTGGCACATTTCTCGTGTATGCTGTTGCCGTATTCCATTAATTCAATCGAATTATTAAATTGACTTTTTGTCAATGCCACAAAATTTATCATTTCTTAAATCCATTTTGTTTTTGAAGAGCATTATTATTATTATTATTACTAAACATATAATTTGCCTTTTTTATTTATAGTTTGGATTTTTTAAAAGAAAAAAGAAAGATGAATTAGAAAAGATGACAACGCAAGCAATGTTGCAAGAATGGGAACCTTATCTCGTTTCCGATGAAGAAGTACAAAAAACTGCAGAAGCTTTTATGAAAAATATGAAAAATCAAAATGAAAACGTCGATAGTACATAAGAATATATGTATAAATAATTATTTTATATATTTTGACGTCCGTGATGTTTTAAATCATTTTTATCAATCAATAGAATCATAAAAATGTAATCATTCTTCTAAATTATTTAAAACAATACTGGTATTCTGATTATACTGGTTATTCTCAATATTTCCGACTATTGTTTTTGTATAACTCAAAATGTAAATAAACGTCACATAGTAAATCGAATTACTGTATTAATTTGAATCTTGAACGGCCAAATGTTTTAGGCCAGGGGTCGCAAACCGGCGGCCCGCGGGCCTGATACGGCCCGTTAAGGCTTCATATCCGGCCCGTGGAATTGATAATTTCTAACAAATCAATATTTCTAACATATTGCAGGGATTAAAACAAAAAAATTTAAATGTCTAGTAAGTCGTAAAGGACTGGTAACAAAAGGGCATTTGTTAGAGCCTTTTTTTAAATTATAGTATTTTTGTTTTGCCGAATATTGATTGCGGCCTGCGTCTAATATACATATATTTGGAGGGTCCTTTGGTGCGTTTGAGTTTGAGACCCCAGGTCTATGCCATTAATGCATACCGGTCTGGGAATCCGGGATCGAATAGGAATGATCCTGCCCGGTCTTTCTGAATAAACAAACCTCCCTGCAAAATTTCAGAAATTTTGCAGAGAGGTTTGGTTATTAGGGGAATTGATACTATTAAATTTTGGCGGTTAAAGGTCGAGAGGTGGGCAGAAAATGGGGTCGTGTATATCTCCAGTAGGGTCGGATTCAATGACGATTTTACTCGTTATTAGCATTTAAATTTAAAAAAAAATTCATCTCTATCCTCAAAACTAAGGTTTTTGCTATTTTATAATAGTTAAAAATATAAAAAGTTTTTAATAAAATATGATAACAGATGGCCTGATTGTTCAGCCTATTGTTCACCTAATTGTTTGTTTTCTCTGAATAAGTTTTCCTCAACTGCAGAATCTGAACACCAGTACAATAAGTCCTATTAATACGATCTGTCATCGTAGACATTTATATAATAAAATGAATAAACGTGTCTATTCAAAACTGTTAAAATATTAGCCAAAATTATATCTATTCAAGAAACTGGCAAGACCTCTTGCATCTTTCCAGACACTCGTAATTTTCAATGTCGTAATTGTATGTGGCGTCATCTGTTATGAGATTTTATTTTAAAATATTTTTTATATTATTAATTATTATAAAAAGCCAAAATGTTCATTTTTGTAGTAGGGCTGAATTTTTAATGAAATTGTATATACTAATATGGAATAAAACGTTCATTAAGTCTGTCCCCAGTCGAGATATGACATGGTCCTCTCTAATTCCATCGGGTACGGGCGATACTCAACTGAACGATGATCAAGTGGGCGACGGCTAATTAAGCGACAGAAACATAAAAAATTTTTCACGCTTAGAAAGCATACGATTTCGCATATTTAAAAAAAATATAGATAAAATATATATAAGTATAAAATCGTAACTCATCCAAATTTATGAATTTTTATAAGTGGACTACGAAAAATTCAAAATGATGTAGATGGACAGAAAATATATGATGACTACCAAGAAGGTTTCAACATCAGCACGAATGTAGACGGTACGATGAAGCCGACTAAAGAATTTCATATTTGGATATGTTTTATAATTTGAAACAACTTCGTAACAATTTTTTACGTCTAAATCGATGCTGTATACACTCTGTTGCATAAAAATCGCCTCACCTTATAGCCGATGTGCAATAGTAATCAAATTATGCTCGTGGAATGGTAGTAAAAAATAAAAAGAAAATTTCATTACACTGTGACAGCACAAAGTGCATCATTGGAGAGCAGTTTCACCACAAACGTATATTAGGTGTAAAACCATCCCTGATATTAATCAGTTTGCATTAATTACCAGACTGGTTTGCCATTTCTGATTTGTAACATTGAAGAAAAACTAGGTTTTCCCGGTTTTGTAATCCCTATTTAGGTGTTACACCCAAACACCTAAATAGGGATTAGTTTCTCATAGATAGTTCTCTCTGGAGGCATCCTCCTTGGCCGATAGCTCATATGTTGCCTTACTGTATCCTATCAAATCAGATAAATTTCCTTTAGTCAATCATAATAGCAGTATTTATATATTGGATTTTTCCTGTTATATTGTTACAATCGAATATTAAAATTAAACAATTAATGACAATGTCTTTCAACATTAGTTTATCCGAGTGAGCCTAGATAGCTCTGACAGAGTGCAATTTAAATTATCCAAATTTGATAACCCCATTTTTATCCATTTTCATTATATTTCCATAAATTAGCCAAAAACTAAATTATAGAGTCATTTCAGAATTCTGTCAGACAAAGCACTAACGAATAGAATCCGATCGGACAAAAACCTACCATATAAAATCTTACCGGATAAATTCTTACAAAGATATATTCCTATCATCCTAGTTTCCTACCAAAAGAAAAAACGTTTATCGAGATGCGAAAGAAATTTTTTCAGCATTGCACGAGCATATGCATTTGGTGTATTGGTTTCATTGCAATGTTTATATTAAATAAAATAATTCATTCAGAAAAGGAATACGAGCAAATGATGCGATAGTTCCAAGGCAATATGTAAATTTTTCCCATTTCTCCCTAGTGCAAGGTAGCGGAAGGAATTCTCTTAAGAAGATTTGGCATATCGTACAAAGGCTCTCCGCTTGTCAGAGAGCCAACATTGTGCGAATAGAAACGATTAGTTGAAAACATATTGGTCTTGGTATAGATGAAAAGCGCTCTATGTACTGCTTCTCGTGCGAGTATTCGAGATAAAGCTCTACCAATTAGCTTGATGTTAGCTCTTTTGTAAGGACATAGGCTTCATGTATCGCCACATAATTTGTCAAGATCGAGTTTTTAATTTGCATTTTGTCCGTATGATTGGAAAGTTTGAACTACAGCTCGATTTACACGGTCCCACTTCTGAACGAATTAATTTACTTTACTAATGGACCATATGAATATAAAAATACTGGTGCAATGCTGGAATTACACACTAATAGTAGATGGAATTAAAGGAAGCTTTATATACTTGGGATTACTATTTACACCTCTAACATTTTTTTAATACAGATTTTTAAAATCTGATGGTGTAATTATAACAATAGAACATAAAAGCATAAGACAGTTTATACAATGTACACAAATATACAAGTCATACGTGATTAATAATTGAAATCTTTGTGTAGAGAGCGCGTTTTAAAAAGATAGAACATACTATAATGTATGGTATTTTAAAACAATGCATTATGCAAGGAGCAGAAACACGAGTAATAACTTTCAAGTATACGCGGTGAGGTGTGTTTCATAGCGTATACAATAATATACATTAGATAAGGATAGAAAGTATAATACAAAGAATGTACACTACGACCTCTGCGAATGGAGAATAACATATTGAGAGAGAAAGTGAGGTGGAAAACTGCGAAGTGAGCTAGCTGTGTTAAGAGACCCAGTGAGCCTCTGGTATTGTTTGACTTAAATGCTAGAAGTACGGTACATGAATGCGATATTATCATTAATCAGCTTTCTGCAATCAGACGGCCACTGATTTCCACTGGATTGGATGGTAATCTTTAGTTGTATCCTTTCTGTTTCTAGCATGGAACAATTATAAATATAGTGTACAGTTCCATCGATCTTACCACAAATGGGACAAAGATTGTTGCAGTTAGTGCTAGAATAAGTAGCGAATCTACAGAGGTAGCTGTAGAATCGACCGTGTTTTTCAGGAAATGAGTTATACTATGGCTAGGTGGAAAACCACTTATATTTAAAAGATTCCTGGATATTAGGAAAAAACTGGAAAATGATGGAATGCTGATAGTTGTTCCAGTCAAGCTGCCAATAGTACATCAGGTCATCCTATAGAAGGCTCTTTAACACACGACTGCCGCCCGAATGGATCTGCTGTGGATAGAGATGTCATTTCCCCATTTAATATTTGAAATTTAAAAGTGTAGTTCAACAACTTTGTAAATCGGTGGTTTTTCACTGATGACTTGCAGACTTGCGTTTGGGACAGTACAATAAGCCTTAGTGATAAGTAGTAAGACCCTCCTCTAGGCTGAGATCAGATTTCTTCTGAGGTGTGTTTTATTAGCAGGCTTTTTCCAGCTGCCCGAGGCATAAGTGATGATGGGTACGAAAATCCTGTTGTATATGGTTCCCATTGCGTCTGCGTTGAGACCCTATTTGTTTTTGGCAAACCAAGCAAATGTGTGGAAGATACGACTTGTGCGATCCGTAATGCAATTGATGTGACTACTTCAGTTAAAAGTATTGTCCAGGACCATACCCAGATACCTGACAGTGTTTCTGACCATTTGACGGCCGGATGACCGAGCGGTCAAGGTGGTAACTTACTGCTCTGGGGGACCCGGAATCGAAATCCGGACTGAGTCGAAAAATTCCTGGGGAGTGGTCCGGTCGGATATGTTTGTCCCCGTCCCTCACCACCCGGCCGCCCCATTGTGGGCCTGGCCGAACCCATAACGAGCTTGCAAAAATAGGCCTCTTAGTGCTCTTTGGAGGCTCTGAGGAAAGAAAAAAGTCTTTCTGATCTTTATAGTTTACTCATTCATTCATTTTGATGGTTGGTACCCTCGCATAAATTTTTTTATGCCTCCGTTTATTGTTTATTAAAAATTTTGCAATTGGTCTTGTTTGGGTTAAATAGCAATTTGTGTTGCAGACCCCATTTATAAATGTTGTCTAGTATATCGTTGGATTTGTTTTCAAGTTCAGCCTTAGACTTGACCCCAATCAAAAGCATGACATCATCTGCGTAGGCCACGGTGCAGTTCTGGCCGAAGTTACAGCTGAGGAATGTGTCAAATGTAATACTGTATTTCATAGCAGAGGGCCTCAGACTGAATCCTGTGGGGCACCGCGAGTTACACCTTTCTGATAAGTATAATCGCCATATTGGAAGATGGTCATTCTGTCATGGAGAAAGTCTCTAAGTATGTAGAATAGATTAGCAGGGCAGTCGATGACCCTGAGCCGATGAATGATTAGCGGCCACCAGACACTGTCAGAAGCCTTAAAAATGTCAAAACTAATACCCAGGACATACTTATTTTGCTCTAGAAGGTCTTGCGTGTAATTGACCACGTTATGAATGGCATAAGAAGTAGACCTCTGATGTCTAAAACCAAATTGTGCTTTGCTGATTTGACCGCCAGACTAGACTCAACACCGCCAAGTTCACCTACTGATAAAAAGTTTTAAGAACTATATTTTTTCTTTGAGAGGAAACTAGAATGATAAAATTTTATCATGTATGACTGTCCGTTAGGGTTTTGTTTAATAGGATTCTGCCATGTCCTCTGAGAAAACTTTTATTAAATATTCATTACATTATTGAAAAGCTCACACAATAACTCGGTAATGAGTAAAAATTTCGATTTTTTTATAAGAGATTTCTAGAATTCTACGCAACAGACAGGCTTTTCTATTGCTTGACATTTTGATTATTTCACATTCTATCTTTCGACATTGTGAATGCCATCGTATTTTTGAAATAATAATCATATCTTAAAATTTTAATTTCTACTCTTTGGGTTGTTTTTGTTTTACTTTTTCCGTTCTGTGGGCATTCAGAGGACCTTTTTTCATGCCCATTGTGGGTTTGTCCAGACTCATAATCGAGCAACCGTGCGGAGAGTCAAAAATAAAACATAAACTTCAGATTTCTTGATAAAATATTAAAATATTTATATAATTATTAACATTTTAAGAAATTAAACTCAATAAATTTTAAAAATAATTATTCGTAGAAAATGAATAGTTTAACCTTTCCCCATTTTTCTTGACCCATTTCCTGAAGTTGTAACTTATTTCTCAAGTTGTCTATTGGAACGCTTTAGTTTATATTTCATCACCTTTCAATTAAAAAATCAATTTCACTTATTTCAAAGATCTGACAAATCAAGCTGATTCACTTTAAGAACTGTTACAAAAGAATAACGTTAAGTTTACTTGAAAATTTCTGAAAAGATTGAAATCTTATCTCTAATTTTCTCAATTTCCTTCTGAAGATAGTAAACTATACAGAAGTCAAGTTTAGACTCACTGCTACTTCCTGACCTCTAAATATAGTTGTGCTAAGAAATACTTTCGTGGAAAAAGAATTAAACTAGCGAACTATTAATATAATATTTTACATTTATAACAATTAAATTAAGTCAAATCTCTGAATAACGGTCATGGACGGGAGCATAAAAATGGCCGTTGTTTCGGTTTGTTAAAAAGAATTTATAAAAGAAATGGCCGCTGTTTGGAGGTGGCCGTTGTTGACAGGTGCGACCGTATAAGCTAGTCTCCGACGTTTCTGACCTAATTCTATATTGTTCATTTATAATCTTAATAATTTATTTCCGATTAGATATTATAGAAAAACAAGTAAAATGTTTATTTTTGAAATTTATCAGTTGAGTAAGTCATATAATTTTTCGAAATTTTAAAAGAAATTAGCCCTTAAGTCACTTTGATCCATCTTTGAGTCCTTTGGTCCATTCAATACAATAAAACCGAATTCAGTGGGGATTCATTTTAATTATTATAAATTTAATTGCACACGATATTTATGCGAACTTAATTAAATTAAATGTATTAAAATTAATTAATTGTTTATAAGATTTTTAATTTACAAAGTAATTTATATCCCATAAGAATAACATGGAAATTGCGCAAAGTTGTTTATAATTGTGAAATAAAGTAGATCGTGTCAGCTTGAAACTTTTGCTATTGATATGTGTCACTTAGTCTCACCGGAATTGGCTCCACATCCGGTGTTAGACCCTCCTATAGCATCAAAATCGCCTCTTCTACCTTTTATGGTTACGTACGAACAATATTTAAATATTGAACTCTGCCAATAGTCAGCAATTTTAGCTTTGTCGATCAAATCTTTTAAAAAATGTCAATATTGATACGATTATACAAACAATAATATTTGTTATATAAACTGTATCAAAAAAAGACCGCAATTTACATAAGAAATATAAACATCTCTCGTATTAAATCCATTTTTAACACGCTATAATATTTATTTTGCAGTAAAAATATGTTGTATTGTTTTAAAAGTCACATTAACTTAATTTTTTTACTTAATAATTATGAATCAGGACATTTCTTTGTACTGACCTGGTCACTTTATGAGTCGTCTATTAATTACATTTACAGTGTTTAAGCCACTCTTCACTAAGCCCTTTCCCGTTGTGTTTAATACTTCTGGCAATCCCCCTTTAATTACGTGCACGATACTGTAGTTCACGGTCCCCCACATTGTAGAAATGACTAAAGTTCTGTAAGTAGGCTTATAAGAACAAAATCCTATGCCACTAATACCCCCTACCTCCCTACCGTGTAAAATAAGGTACGTTACTTCAGACGACCACCTCCCTCATTTAAACGGCACACGTAATTGATAAATGGCCCCTATTGGATAATTTTCTTTGGGTAGAAGTTACATTTAGATATCTCGTGTGTAAATACACGCGAGTATCTTCTACCTTTCTTTCTAATTATTCTGTGAAAGTTAAATTCATTAAATGCATTTTTATAGTTTCTCTCGTGTCAAAAGAGTTCATTTATTCGTCATAAAGTGAGACAAGAGATTAACACGCGCCCACTCGACGCTCTTTTTGCTCCAGGCGATGAATACCAACGTAGAGCAGTCACGTTTCCGGACGATAACGTCACAAAACCGGTATTTCCTCTACGTCACTAATCTGCATGGACGAAAAAAAGGAAATGACTTCATAAGAATGAATGTACACATTTTCGATTTAACGCTGTAACTTTGTACAGTCCACACGAGCGCATGGATCTGCTCACGAAATTGATCCCGTTGGCAGCAATTGTTCTGCATAATTGCCAGTGTTTTAACGTAGATACGAAATTTCCTATTGTTTTTAAAGGGACGAAAAATAGTTATTTTGGTTTTTCGGTACAGCTTCATCAAACCGATCGAAAAGCATGGTAAGTTAAAGCTTTAAATAAATACTTATTTCATAATTTAAGCGAGGAAAATTCATTATAATATTAATTTTAAAAAATGTCGCCATCTTCTCGTTTAAACTAAATTAGGCTTACATTTTAAAATATCACAATTATTATTATTGTTAATTGTCTTATACAAGCGTCAATTTGAATGACGAGAACCAAACCACGTGTAGCTCAGTGAAATGTAAAATATAGAAGTTTGATTTCTACTTTCTGTAACTATTTGAGTAACGTAGCGTAACCAGGGGCGGGACACGAGTCCCCCCCTAATTGGGCCCCACTTATACAGGTGTATAGTCATGTATGATGTTTAAGAGTTTATTTTTTTATCCACAGCGCTAGTGGCTACTTTCGCATTGGTATAAGTTTTGTATGCTATAATTCGAACCCCCTCCTAATATCGATTCTATTTACGTTACTATTTGTCTTATATATTATTTTACATTAGTTTATAAACCAATATACAATTCTAAATGCATATAACCATTTAAAATATAGTCGATTTATTTACAAAAATTACAAAGGTACCGAGTAATCGTGTATCCTAATTTTGAAAAGATAGTTTAATTTATCAAAAATTATATATATATATATTTAGTTATTTATAATACGAATAATTTAATAAAGTCGAACCTCCCAAAAACGGCCACCTCTAAACAGTGGCCTTTGTTTTATGTCCCCGTCACTAGACGCTGTACAGAGGTTTGTGTTTCCGATTTTGATTTCTAATTACTCAGCAATACTGTATTTATTCCTAAAATATATTTCAGGAAATTGTGGTAACAAACAAGAATTAGCAATCAATTTTAGAAATAAAACTGACTTTTTAAGGAAATCCTAAATGAATAAACTAATTATCATCTCGTGTCTATCAACTAAGAACGGAAGTAAATGATCGAATTAATAGAGCTGAGTTAAAAGTGTTGCTTTATCGCACGAGAGAATGACTCATAAATGATTGCATAACTTCCAATTGCTTCTTAGTAAACAGTTCACAATTGCTCATTGATATTACGTGATACACACGTGTACAGTTTTGAGAGGTGACGAAAACTACATCATTGTACACGATGGGAAGGGAGGGGGGGTCGAGCATTGTCTACGTGGTATTATTGAGGTACGAATTTGTTCCTACGAGCCTATTTACTAATCGCGTGAATAAATTATACCCTAATTAAAGGGAAATGGATTTGTCTCATCGGGGAAGAAGGATGTCAAAGGTGACTCAAAAACTGTACACGTAATTACCAAATTACCCCTTAGATAAAAAATAAATAAATTTTTAACGCAGATACGTTTAAATTTAAATATGAGTTATTAAAACTTAATGCCTTTTCACTTAAATGATAAGATCTAACTTTTATATTTCTAAAAATAGATTAATCTTCATCCTATTTTAAGTTTTATTCTGTCATACAATAATTAATCCTGCCAATTTGCATGTATGGCAATACTTAAAATCTAAGGTTTTCATTGTCGATTTTAAAGCACAAACAGTTATAATTAATATTAATAAAAATAAAAAGTTATTAATTTTTCAAAGATTATTATTATAAATTTAATTGCACACGATATTTATGCGAACTTAATTAAATTAAATGTATTAAAATTAATTAATTGTTTATAAGATTTTTAATTTACAAAGTAATTTATATCCCATAAGAATAACATGGAAATTGCGCAAAGTTGTTTATAATTGTGAAATAAAGTAGATCGTGTCAGCTTGAAACTTTTGCTATTGATATGTGTCACTTAGTCTCACCGGAATTGGCTCCACATCCGGTGTTAGACCCTCCTATAGCATCAAAATCGCCTCTTCTACCTTTTATGGTTACGTACGAACAATATTTAAATATTGAACTCTGCCAATAGTCAGCAATTTTAGCTTTGTCGATCAAATCTTTTAAAAAATGTCAATATTGATACGATTATACAAACAATAATATTTGTTATATAAACTGTATCAAAAAAAGACCGCAATTTACATAAGAAATATAAACATCTCTCGTATTAAATCCATTTTTAACACGCTATAATATTTATTTTGCAGTAAAAATATGTTGTATTGTTTTAAAAGTCACATTAACTTAATTTTTTTACTTAATAATTATGAATCAGGACATTTCTTTGTACTGACCTGGTCACTTTATGAGTCGTCTATTAATTACATTTACAGTGTTTAAGCCACTCTTCACTAAGCCCTTTCCCGTTGTGTTTAATACTTCTGGCAATCCCCCTTTAATTACGTGCACGATACTGTAGTTCACGGTCCCCCACATTGTAGAAATGACTAAAGTTCTGTAAGTAGGCTTATAAGAACAAAATCCTATGCCACTAATACCCCCTACCTCCCTACCGTGTAAAATAAGGTACGTTACTTCAGACGACCACCTCCCTCATTTAAACGGCACACGTAATTGATAAATGGCCCCTATTGGATAATTTTCTTTGGGTAGAAGTTACATTTAGATATCTCGTGTGTAAATACACGCGAGTATCTTCTACCTTTCTTTCTAATTATTCTGTGAAAGTTAAATTCATTAAATGCATTTTTATAGTTTCTCTCGTGTCAAAAGAGTTCATTTATTCGTCATAAAGTGAGACAAGAGATTAACACGCGCCCACTCGACGCTCTTTTTGCTCCAGGCGATGAATACCAACGTAGAGCAGTCACGTTTCCGGACGATAACGTCACAAAACCGGTATTTCCTCTACGTCACTAATCTGCATGGACGAAAAAAAGGAAATGACTTCATAAGAATGAATGTACACATTTTCGATTTAACGCTGTAACTTTGTACAGTCCACACGAGCGCATGGATCTGCTCACGAAATTGATCCCGTTGGCAGCAATTGTTCTGCATAATTGCCAGTGTTTTAACGTAGATACGAAATTTCCTATTGTTTTTAAAGGGGCGAAAAATAGTTATTTTGGTTTTTCGGTACAGCTTCATCAAACCGATCGAAAAGCATGGTAAGTTAAAGCTTTAAATAAATACTTATTTCATAATTTAAGCGAGGAAAATTCATTATAATATTAATTTTAAAAAATGTCGCCATCTTCTCGTTTAAACTAAATTAGGCTTACATTTTAAAATATCACAATTATTATTGTTAATTGTCTTATACAAGCGTCAATTTGAATGACGAGAACCAAACCACGTGTAGCTCAGTGAAATGTAAAATATAGAACTTTGATTTCTACTTTCTGTAACTATTTGAGTAACGTAGCGTAACCAGGGGCGGGACACGAGTCCCCCCCTAATTGGGCCCCACTTATACAGGTGTATAGTCATGTATGATGTTTAAGAGTTTATTTTTTTATCCACAGCGCTAGTGGCTACTTTCGCATTGGTATAAGTTTTGTATGCTATAATTCGAACCCCCTCCTAATATCGATTCTATTTACGTTACTATTTGTCTTATATATTATTTTACATTAGTTTATAAACCAATATACAATTCTAAATGCATATAACCATTTAAAATATAGTCGATTTATTTACAAAAATTACAAAGGTACCGAGTAATCGTGTATCCTAATTTTGAAAAGATAGTTTAATTTATCAAAAATTATATATATATATATTTAGTTATTTATAATACGAATAATTTAATAAAGTCGAACCTCCCAAAAACGGCCACCTCTAAACAGTGGCCTTTGTTTTATGTCCCCGTCACTAGACGCTGTACAGAGGTTTGTGTTTCCGATTTTGATTTCTAATTACTCAGCAATACTGTATTTATTCCTAAAATATATTTCAGGAAATTGTGGTAACAAACAAGAATTAGCAATCAATTTTAGAAATAAAACTGACTTTTTAAGGAAATCCTAAATGAATAAACTAATTATCATCTCGTGTCTATCAACTAAGAACGGAAGTAAATGATCGAATTAATAGAGCTGAGTTAAAAGTGTTGCTTTATCGCACGAGAGAATGACTCATAAATGATTGCATAACTTCCAATTGCTTCTTAGTAAACAGTTCACAATTGCTCATTGATATTACGTGATACACACGTGTACAGTTTTGAGAGGTGACGAAAACTACATCATTGTACACGATGGGAAGGGAGGGGGGTCGAGCATTGTCTACGTGGTATTATTGAGGTACGAATTTGTTCCTACGAGCCTATTTACTAATCGCGTGAATAAATTATACCCTAATTAAAGGGAAATGGATTTGTCTCATCGGGGAAGAAGGATGTCAAAGGTGACTCAAAAACTGTACACGTAATTACCAAATTACCCCTTAGATAAAAAATAAATAAATTTTTAACGCAGATAGTTTAAATTTAAATATGAGTTATTAAAACTTAATGCCTTTTCACTTAAATGATAAGATCTAACTTTTATATTTCTAAAAATAGATTAATCTTCATCCTATTTTAAGTTTTATTCTGTCATACAATAATTAATCCTGCCAATTTGCATGTATGGCAATACTTAAAATCTAAGGTTTTCATTGTCGATTTTAAAGCACAAACAGTTATAATTAATATTAATAAAAATAAAAAGTTATTAATTTTTCAAAGATTTCTACTTTGTTTTAAGTTAGTATTGTTTAGAAAATACCCCCAAATACTTTACTTCTTGGAAAAATATATTTATCTCACTTCTAAGATAAGATAAAGCAAGTAATTAAGATAGAATTCTCATTGTTCCTACTTAATTTGTTTACTAATTTCAAAAGCCAAAGAATAAAGAAATTATTTAAATGTTAAATTTAATTAACATATTTTACTCATTGGATAAAAATTTATTTAGTCTTTCATTGAGTTTCTTGGAAATATTGAAAATTAAAATATTTGTTTTCAATATTCTATAATATTTCCTGTAATTCGATATTCGATTCTAGGTCAAGCGAAATCACAGAAATTTACGATTTGTCATTTCCTGATTTTTGTTATTTCTAGATTTGTTAAAATATGAATTATTCCAAAATCCAACTCGAACTTTTTAGTAAAATTAAAACAAATAATAATAGAGAAATTTTCATAATGTTCATATTTGTATTTAATAATTTATTGACAAATTTACCGTAGGCATGTTGTTTTTAAAGAAATTTTTAAAATTGTTTCGTAAAAAACTTTTTATTTTACTGTTTCTATCTTTTGGACACTAAACGAAGTTTTTTTCCAAGTTTGGCCAGGCCCACAATGAGTATGGGTAAAAAAAGTCTCCTTAATTAATACCCATAGAACGGAGAGAATCAAAAATAAAAATAAATCTACTATTCAATACATAGTCTATATAAAATATATATGTACTATATTTTCTATTTGTTCCCGTTCAAACGTAATATATATTAAAGGGGAATAAATTGTCTATTGTCCAATAATTTTAACCTATTTAAAGAAATAACTAGCGGTAATTTTCCTTTAATAAATTTTTCCTTGTTAAAATCATTCCTTTTTGTCAATGACCACTGACTGGAACATAAAAAATGGCCGTTGTTAGGAGGTTATTTTGTAAATATTTCTGTTCAGACGAAAGAAAAAGTGGGTGCTGTTTAGGGTGGTCGCTGTTAGAGATTCGCTTGTAGATATAAAGTATTTTACTGATAAATTAACCCCCTCCTTCTCTTGTAGTGTGGACGTCATACATGGACACCCCTAAGGTCATTCCTGTTGGAACTCGTGTAAGGTACCTTTCACGAGTTCCAACAGGAATGCATTGGGAGCCTGGTGATGAGAATTGTCACTATAGTTTACTTTAATTTTAGTTTAAGTGATTTTAGGATTTTGTTTTTTCTTTTGCTTCAAAGGTTTGAGTATTATACAACTGCCTTTTAGAATCCGATTCCGATCCTGATATGTCCTGACTACGACCCGGATATGAACCCCATTCATGAAATATTCTAAATTTATTACATACTGACCCTCAAATCGTGAAATTTTGGATCGCTAAATCCATACTTTTAGGACTTGAGGGCTGGTTTTAAGTAATAAATGTTAAAATTTACGAACATTTTTGTGACTGTTTCAACCTCGAGGTCACTAAAAGGGCCTTTTTATAAATCCATCATGGGTTCGGTCATGCCCATAATGTTGGCAGAATCTGACGAAAAACAGAATCTGACATAAGATCACCCATGAAAAGGATCAACCATCGAATTCGAACCAGCACCCATGGATGCTGGTTCGAATTCGATGGTTGATCCTCCCAGAGTGACAGGCTGACGTCTTACAAGTTAGCCGCTTCACCTCTATATATACTCGTATTAACTATATGTATTGTATTAAACATTATCGAGTTGCAATTTAAAAAAATTGTAAACCTATAAAAATTCCTATTGTCGTCCGTCCGTCTTTCCTTAATCTCGAGAAAGGAGTTATATAGATGAAAGCCGAGATAGATATGGAAACCTTAGGGGCAAGAGGACCCGATTAACTAGGCCTATACATGATCTTCCGATGCAAATCAAAAGTCATGTTATTTCAATTCAAAACTTTTCCCCTGAAAGGTGTTAGATAAATAACCGGCACGATTTATTGTTAAAGGAAAATTATGACGTACTAATTTGAGGTAGAGAGCATATATTTTAAATTAAATAAATTAAAAATATGATTACAAATTGCAACCTGGCATCGTGACGATATCACAAGAAATAATTGCTCGTTTAAATTCAAATTTATAGATTTTAAAACTTACAATTCTAACTTATATTTTCTCATTCAATAGAAATATATAAATATTAATATTATTTTAATTAAAAAGTTGAAAATAAAGTAACATTAATTTTATATTTTTAGGGCACTAATTGCTGCGCCGAAAGCGAATTCCTCTTCCTCAGCTCAACATCTTCATCAACCGGGAGTTTTAAACAAATGCGAAATATCAAATCAAGTCTGCTACGAAATCATTTTGGATTATTCATGTAAATATATTCTTTTATTTTTGAATAAGTTTCTTGTTATGAAACATTTGAAAAAATACAAATATTTAAGAGAATCTTTTAAAAGCATAAAAACTAAAATTATATATCCGCATATTTACTGGGAATCATTAAAAACATAAAAATAACTTTGATCTTTTAAAGGTCAAATTTCATCGTCTTTGAAATTATCTACAAAATCTACCGTTTAATGTCCAACTTTCATTTTCAAAACCATTATGGCTCACCAGTAACTGAATGGATAAAACCACTGCAGCACTGTAAGTTAATCCCATGCCGCCACATTGTTCACTAATTAAATGAAAAGGAATTTTTTAAAACTTTTATCATATTAAATTATTCAATGACTGAATGTAAATAAATCTTTCCTGTTTTATCTTCCTGCATTAAAGCTATTGATACTTGCATTTTTTATCTTAAATAAAAGATAAATATTAACCCAGATAAGTAGTAAAGAATTCATTTAAAAATTTGATAAAGTTATCAACGATTAAAAAAAGACGGACGAATTCACAACAAACTGACGTTAAACAAATTCAATTTAAATAACGAAGATTAATTGATTTTTGGTTCAATCGTGAGTTATAGTTTTGAAGAACAGTATGTAGATTTGCAAGTTAAAATTTATTTTGTCTTTTTGATGTTTATCAGCATCTTTAAACGTTAATTAATAATTAAAAAATAAATTTTGGAGTATTTTTATCTACTCATTTTTGTGCCCATTAGTGACCGAGTACATATACAAAGCGTTGAACACAGGCAATCTGTGATCAATGGGCGCGTGGTTTGACGAGATTTTTTACACATCTAATACCTGTATAAGGAAGGGCCAGTTTCCAGTAGAAAGTTTTCCCGAGAGAAATCGCCCCTTGGTAGGTGGATTCGAAACAATTTAGGAATGTTTCAGTTGTCTGGTGTTTATCAACACAAGGGAAATCTATCAAGAGGAGCTCTCCCGAGAGGATTTTTATGGAAAACTAACTAGTATTTAGGATTATACACGTGAAAGAAACCCAGAAAACTTCACGCAACCAGCTCGTTTGTCGGGTGCAAACCTGCAACCACCATTCACTGGTTTTATCCACCCGGCCACTGGTATACTGGAAGGTCTTTTGAAGATGTCGACGGCCGAACAAGACGATGAAGCGCAAGGCCTTTCTAAGTTCATCTAAGCGTGAAATTCTCTTTATTCGCAGACGATCCTACACACTGCATAAATGATGCATAAAGTTTCAGTAGAAATGTAGACGATAGATTCGTTCGAATATTAAAAGAGGGGCATAATTTTTTGTGTTAGAAAAATTTATTTCAATTAACTTAAAGATTATAATTACAAAATTGAGTCGCAAACTGTTTTAACCAATTATGTTCAAATTTTTTAATCGAAGTGAATTTTTCGTTTCTCTGACAACATACAATGTACGAGAAAAAAACAAAGAGTCATTTAAAAAAAATTGCAAAAATCAATTTCATACTTACTATGTTAAAAATCATTTTTGCAATAAGCACATCTTACTAAAACCTAGAAAAATGTATTTGTAATATTAGTTTGCAAATGATAGTAATAATCACGATCTTATATCAGCACATTTTAATTTAGTATATTAAAATAAAATGTTAATCGGTCAATTTTTTCAAGCATCCTCAAACAAATTGGCTTGCTGACAATTGAGATGAAAAGAAAACGTAAGGAAGATATCGAAAAAATCGGGAAAAAACTCGTATCTACATTCGAATTACTGAAGTGTTTAATATTATTAAAATGTTTACTTAAATAAATAAATACATAAGCGCAAAGGTAATTACTCAATCTGTCCGCCGGTGACCGAATGTATAAACCAATGAATACTGGTCGTGGGTTCATGTCTACTAACGAGCTTGCAGCATGAAATTCAAGGATTTTCTTCACGTGTGTAACACTTAAATAGGGTCCTTTCTCTACAGAATTATTAATAGAATCTCAAGAGGTACGCACCCTTGCCAGGTCGCCCATGTGTTGCGTTGTCTTATCCTTTCAATTCAATGTAAGCTGAAAACAACAAAAAAATATATCTTGGACAGAAGCAAGCTTTTGAATTATATTTCATAAAAAAAATTCTGAATTGAATAAAGGTGAAAAAATAATGAAGTTTTTCTAGAAACAAAACTGTCCGGGGTGCGGCTCAAAAGGATATGACTTATTGCACCGCTCCTTACGTGCGAGTCATCAATATACAGGACTCATTTCCTTTTGCTATATGTTTGAGTGAATTATATGCTTATTATCAGAATCGTTAGACTTTGCTTGAGCTTCATTAAAATGAACATCCCTCGTCATATCAACTGCAAGACGTTGATAAAATGTCTATAATGGATTAGATTAAAAGAAAAAAAATCATAAAAAGTATTTTAAAATATTGAAGTTTACAGTGAAATTTAGACTTTATGTAAAGTTGATGATTATACATATTTATATCATTAAAAATGTAACAGAAAGGTTGAATTGAATTGATGGAATTAGGCAACGCAATACATGAGGGATCTGCGAAGGGGAGATGCCTCCCGGGAGGATTTTCTACGACAAATTGACCTCTATTTAGGTGTTAAACACGTAAAGAAAACCGGAAAAACTACACTCCACAAGCTCGTTTGTGAATACGAATCCGCGGCCAAGTAATTTTCTTCTACAAATTAGCCGTCATGCATTTCCTACAAACAACGAAATGCTACTTTTTGTAAGAGACGTACAGTATAATTTCGGTAATCCAACATATATGGAAATGTCAGATTAATGAAGTTTTAATAAATGTTTGTGATGCTGTTGCGAGTCTCTTTTGTGAGATGAATACGTAAGAAATCATTATTTTTGGATATTCTTCGTATCTTGTTAATAATAAAAGTTCCTCAACCGTTTGCAAAAATATGTTTTATGTCTTAATATATTTCTCGTGGATAATACAGTATATTAAATAAACTAATTATGAACATCCTGGAACTTTAAAATATAATTTTATATATAATATTTTCATTTTATTTAGATAATCAGAGGAAAATTCTTGGAAATCTTTCATACAAAGAGGTGAAGAGTGATATGATGCTGGGAATAAGTTTGGACGTTCAACCGGAAGACGGAAGTATTGTGGTAAGCTCTTAAAAAATATCGGATTGTAGAATCATTATTTAATATAATTTAAAAATTTAAAAATTGTAGCATAACGGCCTATCTAGATTATAGCATTAGTATTATAGATTATATGATTTTGAAAGATTACAGCATAGAAATATACATTTCGTATGTTTTCATGCCATAATCCTTCTTCTTATATCTAACTTATAAGTGATGAGAGCATCAAGCAATAGGCATTGGTAAATTCGTGATAAAATTATTTATTCTTTAATTATCGAATATATATTTCGTAAATGGACATGTTAACTATAGTCTACTATTAAAGGGACCATACTCTCAAGATAACAGCATGGCTTTTTGTCGTTATGAATATATTTATATCTTAGTTTTCTACGAGTATATTTTTTTTTTTATGTTGCGTACATGTGGTTTTTTCGTGAGAGACTTTTCAGCCTATATATTTGGCTGCAGTTTGAAAAAATTGTAGACCTATAAATGCCCACTGCCGTTTGTCTGTATGTCAGTTAGTTTGTCTGTCTGTCTGTTTGTCCTTCCTTAATCTCGAGAACAAAATTCGATAGATGAAAGACGACACCAGATGTGGAAAGCTTAGGGGCAGAAAACTCCGATTAAATATATAATAATTTGCGACGCAAACAGGAAATCACGTTATTTCAATTCGAAAATTTTCCCCTGAAAGGAATTAGGTAGATGACTCAATTGTTAACAGGAAAAGTATGATGAACAGTACAAGAACTTGATAATAGGAGAAGTATGATGTACAGGAGCAAGCCACTACTAATTTGAGGTGGAGATTTTATATTTTAAATTAAATAAATTAAAAATATGATTAAAAATTGCAGCCCGGCATTGTGACGATGTCACAGTAAATAATTTCTCGTATATTGAACACTTTCCATCCTCACGACTTTAAAAAATTTATCTTTTTTCACTTTAACGATATTTTGATGGCACTTCGAGTAGTAATTTCGTGATATATTGGTTATTTTGTCGTATCTCATTTTATGGCAGATGCTCCAGATATATTCAATGAACATTACCTGTAAGTTATAAATATTATTATTTTGCTTCTCTAGTTAGTTATAGTTGCATTTTTAAAAAAATTCTTTCTATTCTTGGTTAATAAGAAGGCGTTCTTAGCAAGCCCATTATAGATTCAGCCAGGACCACAATGGGGCAGATGGGTGGTGAGTGATAGGGCCTGACATATCAATATCTGGAGAAATTCCTAGAAGGCTGGGTTCGATCCGGGGTCCCCACAGCGGTAGACTAACATCTTAACGGCTTGGCCATCTGGCTCCCGTAATCGCATCTTTATACATTTAATATGGATTAATGATGATGATAGTTAATGCATTGCTATTTATATGCTTTAGAGATGATAATTATTTGATAATTAATTTTCAAACAAATACCAAATAAGTACAACCGTTTAAATGGATTTTCTAGACATGTGGACATCTATGGAAGAATTTGGAATATTCTCCGTTTTATTCTGCTAATGGAGTTTGTTACGTTATTGATAAATATTTAAATGAAAACAACGATTTATCCAATGTTGAGAAGTTACTGCCAATCATTGCTAAAGGTGAGTATAATTAACGAATATTTTTAAAATATAATTATTAAAATTAAATGTATGAATAGTTAGTAAAGGCTCAGGGTACAGGCCTAGATATAGAGCCTGAATACTACATGAAAAAAACATTCCAGAGTTGTACAGTAGGATTTTTTCTTTCCACCCTGTGGGTACTAAAAGGCCTTTTAATTATATACGTCGTGGGTACAGGGCCCAAACGAAGGAGGCCTTGAATGGGTATAAAAAATTATCAGTATGATATTTTTATCTTCAAATTTTAAATTTTGTCCCCTGTAGGTCGACTTTGACCATAACGTTAAAAATAACCGACCATTTCTACAATATTTGTTTTTTTATTTTTTTCAAGAACAAGGGGCCAAAAATAAATCTTGCACAGATCACATGAAAAACAAGTTATGGCACTGCCTATAAATGTTGGTTTCAGTGATTTAAAAATTGTTTCTCATTACATAACATAATTCAGGGGGAAGTGCACATAATGGAGCTGCTAAAAAGTATCCAGAGGAATTCCAAAAATTATTAAAGAGCAAGGGTACATATTTCATTAGTTCGCGTATGGAATGCAACTTTTCCCTTTTATTCTGGTTCTTAGCCCCATATAACAAGGTTTCGCGCTATAAAACTAACTAATCTATTAAAAACCAGAATGTGTTATTAAAATATTATAACGTTTGCATCATATTTCATAAATTAGTTCATTAATGTAAGTTTTAATTTATTTATACAATCTAACTTCCAATAATGGCCATCTGTAAACAATGTCCATTTTTTTAAATGTCCCCGTTAGTGGTCATTGTTCATAGATTTTATTGTATATAATATTTTTCTCATATACATTTTGTTTAAAATATAATTCATTCCATATAATCTTTATTAATCTCTAATAACAAGATCTATAAGACATTATTAGATTGCATTGTAGATAAATTGTTTCTAGACAGTCTATAAATTAATTACTATTAATTGCTTATAAGCAGCTTTATTACAGATAACTCTATAACTTTCTATAAATTAACATGGCCCACCAGTGGACGAATCGATAAAACAACTAAACACTTATAAACGGCTGGGCGCGTGGACTTTACCGGTTATCACCACGTCTGTAGCATTTAATTAGAGGGCAGTTTCCCATAGAAAACCCTCCTTTGGCAAATAGCCCATTTGCCAAAGGAGGATGAGGTAGGACAATGTATTGCATTGCCTTACCTCATCACTCTTAATCTTAATCTGTAAGTTAATGTCTCAGCATATATTCGGAAATATTTGTTAGAATATTTTAAATAAAATAGGATATCTCCTTTCGTATATAAACATTTTTTTAAAATTTCATTTTATAATTCTAATTTTTCAGAAAAGCAAGTACTCCATTCTCCGAACGTTAATTTTTACGCCTATGGATTAGCTGGATTTTCCGCAATGTTTACAGAGGTCAGTTAATTTAAAATTCATTTCATAAATATATATTTGATTTAATTAGTAAAATTTATTTTAAAATTGATTTGTTATGAATAATTTTCTTTTTATTTTTATTATCTGTAGAATGGGAAAGATCTAATTTTGGGAGCACCCGGCATCTATGAAGGAAAAGGTACATTTATATTTTGTTTTAGATTTTTAATTATTATCATGTCAAAAATCCAGTATTTTCTTCGTAAAATTTATATTTATGTAAAAAAATACCACGTCATAATAAGAATCGTTATCGAAATTCTTTCTCTTATACGAGTATATTTTATTTTATTGAGATTCCACTGTCTAATTATTTTATATTTGTACAGAAAATGAAAACAATTAAAATTTAATTAAAACGATTTTATTGATTATTGAAAAGGGTGGTCTGCGGGATAAAACTCAGCGCGGGGGCAAAGATCTTTTAATGTAGAATTGCTGCATCATGATTACTTTTGATAAAGTTAATATTATAAGTTATTAGTTATTAAAATTCATACCTAAATTTGTTCTTAAGTTATGAATCTTGTAGTTCATGAAACATTTGATGAGTTGATACTTTGTTAACACATGGAATTGATGCTATTATCAAGTGTCGCCAGTGAGTAATGATAACTTATTTGATCCTATTGTTATAATATAGAGATAAAAATTAGATTACGTTTATTTGGACGACACGACATGTTTTATGGAATGTCGAGTTATCGAGAGTCGAGTTTCCGGGACTCTACAGTATAAAATTACAGTCTCCCCCTACAACACGGTAGATACGTTCCGGTTTTTATGAATCCATTTTCTACGAGTCCAGCCAATCACAGCCCGACACGTATGCAGTTTATTCACTACGGCTGTTTGAAAGGTTTCTTCCATAAAATTAATCGATTCTAGACTAATTCGACTCAACATTTCCAAAAGTATGCATAATTTTTTGGAAATAATCCATATAAACTATGCTATAAACAAAAAATTGTAGGATTACTTACCGAGTGTGTACCGTTCGACCACGCCATTGCTGAAAATTGTTTTCGTGTTGAGCTTGTCATCGAATGGCGATCGCGTGCTTCCTGATAATTTTTTTTTTTTTTTTTTTGCAAAAAATTCGCTGAACTTTGGAGACATCATTAATATAAATATAATTTTTATGGACGTTAAATAATAAATGGTTTTTATTCTTCTTCGATGGTGTTTATATGGAGATTTTAGCGCAATGTAGGCTCTTTCTCCGAGTAGACTTGTGTATATGTATGATCGCTAGGCGACCGATTAGCCGGCTGTATCGAACAGCCATACGTACGCGCGGGAAATAAATGCCTTCCGGGAGGACTTTTATGGGGAACTGGCCTCCTATTCAGTCGTTATAGGCAAGGAGAAAACCCGGAAAACTCCAAGCAGCCAGCCTGTCCGACCGTGGCGCGAACCCACGACGAACCTCCCAGTCTTTAGGGTCTGGTCACCACTACGATGAGCGGCAACGGAGACCACTCGCCCACTAAATGGTTTTTAGTAGGTCCGCTGCTCGTTTAAACTCAACAGTTTGTGCAATAGTTCCGCTATTGGTCTAGATTCGACCAATCCTGTCGCGACACGAGTCGGCGATAACGTTTTACCGAATTATAGGAGTGTTTTAGCGTGTTTGTACGAATACTGTCGCAATTTTTTTGCCGTGATATAGGAATCCGAACTATAGGAACCATTGTTATAGGAGGGTTGACTGTAGTTAATTTTGAATTTATAGTGATAGACTTCAAAAATTGAGCCGTGTATAGAAAATCGGAATACTTGTTATAGAAAATTAGTTTCAGATAGGTAATACTAAGGGTAGACTATGCAGACGCGAGCGAGCGAATTTTCCGAGAGAGCGAGAATATGTGGCGAGAAGAGGCGAGACGCGATAAATATCAAAACCTGTCAGATATGTGCGAGAACCAAAAATTCGCTGTCGCTAGCGTTATTTCTCGCTTCTCGTTTGTGCATGTTTTTCCTTTGCGAAAACTAAATCGCTCGCAACCTCTCGCTCGCTCTAAATTCGCGTCTGCATAGTCGCACCCTAAGAATCTGTATTCTGTTTAAGGTCGTTTTTGTATCAGAAACTTTAACAGCAGAAATGTGTAGCGTTATGTGGTTTTATAGGAGTCTAACAAGTAGTATTAAGGCCGGTTCTTAGTGACAGATTAGGAGCTGTTCATAAAAGGCGTCCCCACTGGAAGGGAGGGCATGACAAATCGGACAATGTTGGACAACGGGAAAGGAGAAGTTGAACTTCAGTGGACGTCCGTTTTAGTTCATTAAATATTATACAGTTTATGCATTCTATTATTCATAAAGTGATAAAGGTTGTAAAGGGAGTAGAGTTTTGTTAGACGTCCGAAGAGGGGAGGGGTTATGGAAACTTGGACAAACTGAGCCGGTGGGGGAAGGGGGAGTGAAAATTTAAAGAAAAATATTGACGTAATTTATGGACAGCTTACGTATGAATTTAGCCAACTATGTACTGTACTTCGAAACATCGCAGTCGTTCGACCAATGAGAGAAACCGACTCATTTAACTCGCAAAATCCAATAAAAGTATGTATTTGTTCTTTGTGAACTGAACTTGTACGTTTGTTTTCGAAAATAACATGTCTAAGAAAAAGAAGGCCTCATTCTATTGTTCGATCGCGCGTGTCAGCGCCGAGTTGATCTGAACGACCGCCGCGGGCATAGTTGACGGTAACGGTGACGTAACGACGTGCGTTATCGCGTACTTGCAGCAGCGAGAACCTTACTTTTTACGGTGCATTACGAGAGGGCGAGAGGTAGTTTTTTCTGCGATTCGCTGTTCTGATTATTTCTCCAGTTGTTACTTATACAATAACGCATAACATATGACGTACGGCTGTTTTTGTTTACCTGTTACTTTTATTTTTAAATAACAATCTGTTATTGTTTTTTTTTTTTCGAAATAACAGTTGAAAGATAACAGGTTTCCAAGTAACAACCTATCACTAGAGTACACAGTATCCCAGTGAATGTAGATACATTCGTTTTGTTCGAATTATGTACACAATTACGTCAATGTGACGCAATTCTTGCAGTTTATTGTGAGAAAATGTAAAATGACGTCAATTTGACGTAAAAGAACACACTACTTAGACAAAACGAATATTTATTATCCTTATGAATCGCATAATCTTTCATTTTTCTCATTCTTCTCATCCACATTGTATTTATTATTATTATTATATTACTTTTAAAATATTCTTATTGATTAAATAAAGTATTTAACAATATTTATTGTTTTAGAATAACTAATTATTTTTATTAGTATGTATTTTATCTTTATAACTTTTTTCCACAAAAAAATCCTAAAGGAACAACAGTAAATATTTATATCGTAGAATCTTTAAATTTTTCTCAGACCTAACAGAGAAATTTGCAGCGATATCGCTTTCTCAAAAGTGAAACCAAGCACTGTACGAGCGAGAAATATTGAAATAGATGGCCATGAAAAGCGAATTTTCTGGCGTGGGATGTCAGCGAGCGATTGAAAATGGAAGGACAGGTTGAAAAGCAATGACAAAAAGCTTGTCATTGCGGTTATTTTCTCTATCTAAATTGGCAACACTGGAATTCTAAAATAACCTGGAGACATCTTTTTACTGAAAGTTGTGCGCAAAATAAAGTGGAAATTATTGCATTTCCCCCCTTGTTTTAAAACGCTACTCAGTTCAATAAATGTTTATCTTTAAAATGATAGTTTAAGTAGCGATAACTACAGCATAGTTCCCGAAAATGTGGGTTCAAATTTGCAACTTTAATCTCGAATATTTCGGTAACTATGGCGAATTTGCAAATACCGTGTGTTACTGTATATTTTTTGCTTATCTCGACAGTTCTTTCTGTCATCCATTTCCAGGAAGAACACTTTTTCAACACCCTGTGTAGACAATAGCAGTTCCAAAAATCTTTAGAGGGGGAGCAGAAACAAAACGATAAATCTGCCTTACAAAGTATTTTACTTCTTGACTCCTGCTATTTTACTTTACTCCTATACAGGGAAATTTAACGGGGATGCACAGTGTACAGCTACAACCTCCTTCTGTAAGTTTTTTCCGAGTACTCAATCGAGAAAAACCTGCAGAAGATAAAGTATAAATTATGCTGTATATTTAAAGTCAAGTATAAATTATGCTGTTCTTTTAAATTTTGTTGGGGCAATTAGAAACATTATTAAACAAAGTCCTTTAGGGTAATTTCTGAGGAAAGGCTGTTAAACATGGCTGTAGAAGATTTAAATTAATTATTGCCAGTTAAAGTTTAATTTATTTTGTAAACTGGCTTTAGCATCTCATAAATAATAATTAAAAAATAAAATAAAATGAAATTATTATTATTTATAGGAAGTCTTATTCAATATGCTGTTAAAAATGGTGCTAAATTATCTCCCTTCCCAATTATCCCGGATCCAAATAACACAAAAGAAAGAGTGCACAACGATTCCTACGTTGGTAAGTATTTTAAAATTATTATTTTATTTATGTAAATAAATAATATTTAAGTCAATCGAAATATTTTCTGTTTTATAAGAGTCTACAGTCTACTCTAACCTCGTGCCTGGCTAGGGGAAGAGATTTGGTCGCCTTTTCTGTTTGCTGTACAAAATCTATCTTTCCTCTATGTCTCTCTCATAACATTGAAGGTTAAAAACTTAAAAAAGTAACATTAAAGACAGACAAACTGTTAAACACGTTAAACAATGAAAAATGTATTATACACAAAACGAAATTAAATTAACTAATTATTCAGTTTATTTAGTTTACAAGATTGTTTTCAATTTTTTTTATAACAACTTTTGTCAGCAGAATTCTCAATGCTACCTCATGTATTTGGAACTTTATTCTCGAAATTGCTTGCTTTTAAGAATTGTGAAGTTTCTAACGGCGAATTGATGTTTTCCGGAAGTAAACTGTTTATAAATTTAATTTCTTCAAAGAGTTCGTTCCTGTCAATGTCACTGCTATTTTCATCAATAAGAATTGAATGCAAATCCGTAAAATGTTTTCTTAATTCGTTTAAATTAAAATTCTACTCATAAGTTTTTATTTATTCAGATCTTTCTTGAAGAGATGTATGTAAAGTTATATTGAATAACTTATCGTTGTTATAAACTTTGTTTGTCGTCAATAGCAAAGATGGTCTCTTCAGTTTTGTAATTAAATAATTTTTGTTTTTACAAATTATTCATTTTTCTGCAAATATTGGTTCTGTTCCTAAAAGTTTTGCTAATTCTTCAGCTTGTGTCAAAGCATTTTCAAATCCTTGAGTACGGTATTGAGTGAGGTTGATGTCACAGTAAATAATTTCTCGTATATTGAACACTTTCCATCCTCACGACTTTAAAAAATTTATCTTTTTTCACTTTAACGATATTTTGATGGCACTTCGAGTAGTAATTTCGTGATATATTGGTTATTTTGTCGTATCTCATTTTATGGCAGATGCTCCAGATATATTCAATGAACATTACCTGTAAGTTATAAATATTATTATTTTGCTTCTCTAGTTAGTTATAGTTGCATTTTTAAAAAAATTCTTTCTATTCTTGGTTAATAAGAAGGCGTTCTTAGCAAGCCCATTATAGATTCAGCCAGGACCACAATGGGGCAGATGGGTGGTGAGTGATAGGGCCTGACATATCAATATCTGGAGAAATTCCTAGAAGGCTGGGTTCGATCCGGGGTCCCCACAGCGGTAGACTAACATCTTAACGGCTTGGCCATCTGGCTCCCGTAATCGCATCTTTATACATTTAATATGGATTAATGATGATGATAGTTAATGCATTGCTATTTATATGCTTTAGAGATGATAATTATTTGATAATTAATTTTCAAACAAATACCAAATAAGTACAACCGTTTAAATGGATTTTCTAGACATGTGGANAAGTATTTTCCAAAAGTTACTATTTTTTTTATATATTTTTTTAGCATAAGCATTAGCCTAAATAGTAGAAGATATAATCTATAATTTTGATTTACATTTGTGTTTAATTATAAATATTAGCCTATTTATAGTTTCATAATAATGATTTTTTTCTATAAACTTCATGACAGGTTATTCTCTTACATCTGGAAGATTCTTCAATACAACTGAAATATATATTGCATCTGGAGCTCCAAGAGCAGAAAATGATTATGGATGTGTAAGTAATATTTAATTAATATTCATTGTCAAATATTTAAAGACATTTCAAATGTAAGCTATTCAAATATATTTCCTAAAATATAAACATCAGTAGAATGGCAAAGTTTAAAAATTTAATTATGTAAATTTTTTATAATAGAAAGAGTATAGGCCACAGTGGTGTATACCGCTCAAAAATTGTTAGAACAAACTAAATCCTTTGAATAATCTACACCACTGTATACACTCACACATAAGAGAGCAACAGATAATTGCAATTTAAAACTGACATTTAACCGGTACCCTTTTTAAATTGTATTAAATACAAATAACTAGGAGTCGGTATTTTTTTTTTTAATTCTGACTCCCGATTCCTTTCACTAAAGCACCACGGATAAGTTAGTAATTTGTTTAATAGAAATAAAGTTAGATGTAATAGGTTTTTTGATAAATATAGTATTTTTATTTATTACATAGCCTACAAAAATATAACATTTAAGAAGAATATTTGAATTTAAAAAAAAACTATCGTAAATATTATTTACTATAATTTTGTTTATTAATTTATATAATAATATAATAGTTTAATCTTATAATAAGACTTTTACGACTTCCAAACGGTTTACATGAAATAAAAATTAAAAAGCAGCAAAAACAAAACCAGAAAATATTGACTTTGAATAGTTTTTAAATTTTAACCATTTTATATAAAAATGTTAACTTAGAACACTTCAATTTTGGGCATTTTTGGCATTGCAATACATATCTAACAATATGATTTTTCCTTTATAAAAATCTAAAGGACTTTATTAAATTTTTATTATTTTATATATATAAATACATTAATATTTAACACTATACATAATGATATTAATACTAAATTTAAAAAATTTAACACAAAAAACAAATGAACAGAATTTTATCAAGGGAAATTTGTTTCAAAGACTAGCCTCCATTATGGCCTCTTTCAAGTTAGCGCGCAACTGAGATTTGATTAAACGCTGAGCTGAAAATAATCCTTCAACACTGACTTGGGTAGGAGGCAGTGCAGTAACAACATGGGCTGCATTATATATTATTAAAAAAGTCAAAAATAACGGCTTTTAAAAGTTTTTAAATATTTTAAACGTCAACGCGACATAAGGAGTTGGGAGTCGATAAGTTTTCCGACTCCCGACTACGACTCAACATCCCTGCAAATAATAATCCACGGGTTATTTATATGAGAATCGTGTATTTGTATTTAAATCAATAAATAATTTAATTCATTCACTGATCTAATATTTATTTTACAGTTGTTTACTGAAGGTAATAAGATTGTAGTATTATCACTGTGCATTGAATACAATGACAATTAATACAAATATCTCTAGCTTAACAGATATATTTTTCTCGGCAAATAAAGTGTTAGTGAATTTGCTATTTTCGTTTATTAAAATAAAAATATTTGTTAATAACTAAAAATTTGTTCTAGCGGGTATTGGTTGTTCTGTCTATCACTGTCTTTGATTAATGCGATTTTGACATACAGTAGAGCGTCGATTTTCCGAAAGTCAATCATCCGAAAGAATTCCAGTCGGCAAATTTAAATTTTCGCCAGTGCTGTGGCGCTTCAATCTTTGGCTATGTCTTGGGCTACTCAAATATTTTACGTTTTTGATACTAAATTAACATCTGAAGTATAATTTTTTATT